GCATATTGTTTATTATTATTCTTATTAATAACAGGATATGATCACTACCCAATAATATCTCCACTGGAATGTTTTTAAACTCATATATGTTGTTTAGGCTAATTTCTAGAGATATCCAGATATAATCAATTTTACTGTGTGCTGAGCTATTTGCCCATGTGAAGGTAGTATTCTCTTCTTCTTCCCAGGAGTTTTGAACATTTGTGTAATTCCGGTCTTCTAGAAAGTTGAAGAAACCTATTTTAGTTTTTTTGTATCTTGAGACTGTTTTGTCTGTGGATGGTAATCGGTCCACTATTGGGTTGACAACTGCATTAAAGTCATCCATGATTATGATTTTGAAATGGTTTTTTTGCTTGTCTAAAATCTTGTTTTGAAGCAGCTATTGTAGCCATCTACTTTTAGCTTTCCCAGATAGCAAATATACTTGATAGATACAAAGTTTGTTTCTTGTTGATAGAAAGTTGGCTCCTATTATATTCCTTCTATTCTTTCAATTGATTCTAGCTTTTTCTTAATGTTTTTTCTAATGAGAAACCCTATTCCAGACTCTCTGGGTTTTTCATTATTACAGCTGTGAAAAAATTTGTACATTTGCTATAGGTTAAAAATAAAGTCTGCTGTTTCTTCTGTTAGCTTAATTTTATAGATCTCTAGGATATTTATATTGAGATATTATATAAATCTAAAAAATCTTTGTTGCTTAAGACTAGTGTTAATGCCTCTAATATTATATGTTTCAATAGTAATGGTATTATCTATTATGGAGTTGTCAATGGTATAGTTCTTATATAGTATTTGTTCTTTGTCTAGTTTATTAATGATATTCTTTTTAATTGTACAAATGAAATCATCAAGTGATGTAATATATTTTGTGCTGGGAAATATTGTATTTGTTTCTGTTATTGTTTCTATGGTCACTCTTTTTTTTCAGGATAAGCTTGATTCCTCTTATAAGTTAAACTCTCTCTTGGTGTACCTTAATTGGACTGGTGCTTTTTTTAGGAGTGTTTGTTCCATCACCTTTTTCTTACCCTATTCTGGTTACTTGTTTTGTCCTCAATTATGTTTATTCTAGTATTTAAACACTTGAAATTATTCAGAATCTGGCATGATCACTATTACTTTCTGGATAAGGGCTTTGTGATCTATTATGCAAACTTCTTCTTTTATTATAATGATTGATTGGCTTACTGTTACTACCAATAGCAAAGTATCTAGTGATGTCTGATGTTTCAGCCATGTAGTTGCTACCTTGGAGGTTGCATCTTCTTTCTTTTGTCTTTTTTCCAAGGTCTGTACTTTTTTGCAAGTCGTTTTCAGTTTCTGGATTATTCTCAGATATTGTATACAAGTTTGCTCTATTGTTGCTTCTGATGTCAGTTAAGCCCAGTTGTCTTGAGTATAGTTTGATATGTGTTATTTCAGGGTGAGCTCTCTCCTTGTTATAATTACTGCTCTCTGTTTTGGTCGCTTCTTTGTTATGCACTATATTTTTCCTGAAATGCTTTTTAACACTCCAGCTGAGTTTGTGATTATATATAGATATATGTCATCTCAGGACCTTATGCAAATCTTCTACTGCTGCGAAACATACTACTATATATCCTCTTCTTTTCAAGGTAAAGGGTTTCTTGGTATATAACATGCTTTGGCCCCTACATGCTGTATAGCCCTTGCTATAAGACTTATGAAGGTATTGTGTATACCATATAATTATAAGAATTGGCTGTTATTGTTTTTGAAAATGGCATTAACTTCAGGATTATCTGGTTCATGTATAGTGAAAATTGCTCTAAAGATAATTACTTTGATATAAATTAACCATCTATTCTTTAAGTCTTGCTGGTTTGGGATAAGTTGTGCTTTGATTCTCCTTTGAGAGTAAGAGTGGTTGTAAATATGATACTCAAGATCTTTCCATATTTTTGTAAAGTAGCCTTGATTTCTTGATAAGTATGACTACGGTCAAGATTTATCAATGTGACAACTATTGTCTTATTTTCTTCTTCTACTACCTCTTGTTTAAGGAATTTCTTTTCTGGTAGTGAGTATGAAGTTTTGTATTTCTCTACTTGTATAGGAATCAAGGTAAAGTTTTTTCTTTCTTTCTTGTTAATCTTCTCTATACATTGTAAGGCATCTTCCATTTCCTCAAAAGTAAAAGTTGTTCAGGCATTATTATTGAAAAAGTCTTTTTTGAATAGTAGCATATCTTTATGTAAACTCAAGACACCTTGGAGATAGCCTAATCATTTTTTTTTTGTATCTTCTGATATTCTGGATGTAAGGATTCTGATCTTGAATTCTCTCTTCTTGGTAATATGAAATAGATTTAAACTGGATAACTTGGGTCTGTTTCGTGTATTGTAGAAGATTTGTTCTACTATATTTTCCCCTTTAACTCTTTTCTGGATGTTTACCATTTCAAGTTCTTTCTTCAGCTCTTCCTTCATATCTTTATCACACATTTTAACTTCGATATTATTCAGAATTTCAATATTGATTGTTGGTTAAACTTTCATATCCTCATTTGAAATAATGTTCTTATCTGAAGTTGAGTTTTCTACTATGGAGTTTATAAATTCATCCTTAGTTTGAAAAATTTTGAAGTATTGAGAGGAAAACTATTTGTGAAAGTATCTTGCTCCAAGATGCATCTGACTTTTTCTTCCAAGAAAGGTACCATAAGGTCTTCTTCTCTTCCATGACCTTGTGTCCATAAGTATAGAATATATGTTTTAAGGACCTCTGCTTTAATAAACATAGTTGGATCTACATTTAAAATTTTTGCAAGAATACTATTGAGTATTGAGTATTCTGTTGGTCCTAGTGTCTAATTGGATTTGTCTTGTGTGATAAGAGTATTGAAGATGATTTGGGTAGCCCATATCTCTTTTCTCTAATCATGTTTTTCAATTATTCCAACTATTGTATCAAGAATGTGTAGCTCTCTCTTCTTAGAAATTTGTATGATTCTCCATTTTTTTATCATATTGGTCATGTGTCAAGGAGAATAAACTACTGATTTGTTGATTTGTTTATTCTTAATTTGTTTATTTGTTTATATTTAGCAAGGTACAGTATGTGGAGTTGATTGTTTGTTATCTAGTTTGATGTTTTGTTTACTCAGATGAGTTATTAATTCTTCTTGTTTGATTCTTGTTTATTTTTCAAATTTGATGTTGATCTTCTTTGTTATGAAAAATAAGTCATTTATATGTAAACACTTGATAAACCTTACTATATTGTCTGATGCTGAATTATTTGATGTGTAAGTATACACGTAACTTGTTTTGATGTTTAGACAAGTGTATATGGAATTAAAGTACTCTACTGTTTAGTCCTTGGAAGCCTTTAATGTCCTTTTGAGCTTTGCAAGCTTTGAGATTTTCTGATTTATCAGTAAGAACTATTGTTTATAGAGTTCCTTCTAGTGTCTAAAAAGGTGTAAATCAATATTGGCCTAGCTAAAAGCTTGGGGAGTTGATATTGGGCTCTTCTAAGCTTACTGTGAATCAGCTTGCAGATGTGTTTTCCTTTCCTTGTAAAGTAAAGCTAGTGTGATGCTGTATTGCCAAAACTTCTTTTAATCAGTAAAGTGATCTTTTGAGGGAATAGTTGGATGTTCTGATTTGTTATTAAGTCTTGAATTTTTGAGAAATAAGATGTTTTTAAGCTGGCTTCTCTTGTCCAAGAAAATTACCAAAAAAGAAAATTTTTAGGGAAAAAGGGAATCAGTGGAATGAGTTTTTTTTTTGAAAATTATTTGTTTTAACAATTGCTTCTTCAATAAATGTAATTATATTTTTAAACTTCAATAAATATAATTTTAATGATTATAATTAAAACAATTAAGACTTTTTTTTTTTTTTTAACTCTAGGTCAGGCTAGATACATATGTTTTATTAAATATTTATATACTATATATTTTAAATAATTTACTAAAGCTAAGACTTTACCTAACTCACTTGTTACTGTTTTGACTTAATACTGTATATCAAAACTCTAAGTGCAACTTTGGGAATGATTTATCACTCCATTAATGGTTCAGGTGAATACCCTTCAATCTTTAACATCATTGCTCACAGGTCACCACTGCAGATCACTATATATTGTTCTGACCCAGCTTAAAATCCAACCACTTTATTCCATAAATAGCACCTTTAAGTAGAATTTCTTTTAGGCTTTCATTTTCTTGAGTTCCTTTCTCTGGTAAAGGATCTTTATTTTTGGAAACTTATGATTTTAAGCTATGTGTGCCTGAGGATCAGTTGATTTTTTCTACTCTGCAGATCCCTTGTGAATATTCCTATTCAATTATCTTCTCACATCTTTCGTTTCAAATCTTTTTCCTTATTTGGTTGTATACTCTTCTTTACATCTTTGATATTCATCTGCTTGTGTTATTACCAATTATTTTTCCATGGCATTTCAGATCTATCATTTTTAGGATTAAATCTCTCCTTACTAGCCCTATGCAAAAACTTAGTGTCCTGACTAATTTTTGAAATCTGTTCTATCAGTTTGGAGATCTATTTATTTATCTTAGCTGTTTTTTCTTCATCATGGATAATCAACCTTATATGTTTTTCTTCTGTCTCTTTTTTCCTCTCTTGGAAAAGCCCTATGAAGTCTCTAAGGATCTCATCTTGTCCTTTATTCCATGCTTCCTATAATTGCTTCTTGTATACTGTATACTCTAATAAATGTTTGAAAGTTTTCCTTTGCTGGCTATATGCAATACATTTCATTTATTTGTAAAAGTTGGACCTTCTAGTTGCCAGCTTATTCAGAGTTAGTAGCTCATCATTCATTAGTTTTATGAGGAAGCTTTTTCATTGCAATTGTTTAAAGGAAGTGTTCCAGGTGTGTTCTTCTTTCATTCCTTCTTATACAAGGTCCCAAGTATGATCTTACTATTCTATAATTTGGTGGTTCCACATTTTTTCAATTTTGTTTTGCTATGTTCACTAGAGAACAGTTGTTTTATTGTTTACTTTTTTGACAAACTGTCTTATTGGGTCATCTAGCATTTTTTCTTGCCATCTAATTTCTGTGATAATCTTGTATAAGGTCAGCTCTTTCCATTCTATTGCTAGAAGTTTCAGAGCTTCTTTGGCTAAAACATCTTCTTCTTCATTGTGGGGATCATTGAAATGTATCTTAACCTTGATAAGTTACAGGTTTATAATCTTTTTCTTTACTAATTCTAACATTTATATCTACAGGGACCAGTTTTTTTTTTTTAACCATCTTTTGTAAGTTTGCTTTGAATCTTCTCTTTCTATTATTTTCCACTTGAAGATACAGGCCTGACTATCTATATGGATTTTCATGTCACTATTTACTAGAACTATCAAAAGTATTGTGACAATTGCTACAAGTTCAGCACGTGTTGAGGAGGACCAACTGTCTACTCTTATCTGAAATCTACTTTCTCTATCCATATTTCTTATCTGGATTCATGCTGATCCCATTTTCATTTCTTCCATTCCATTATTAATAAGTGATTCATCAGAGTAGAAGATTCATTTTTTAACATTGGATCCCAGGTTACGTTGAAGTATTTCTATTAGGTGGTCCTGATATACTTCTTCTATAACATTGTCTCTAATGATGACCTCTTCCCATCTTTCAATATCTACCCAATTCACTATATTGGTTGAAGTTAAGGTTTGAGGGTCTTGATTCATACTAGTAACCTTTTCCATTGTTTCTTCTAGTGATACCTTGAAATAGAGAATTGTTTGATCTTGAGCTCTTCTGGTTAACTTTCTTGTATTGAGATATAAAACTTCATATACATCTTTCATATCTTTCTCTAATATACATCCCCTTCTTGTTTTATACTCTTTGGGTATTCTGGGCACCTTGTTAATATTATTATTTGAGTATTATTATTACTATAGCAGTTGAAGTATTCGATGTTAACTTTGTGTTCTACTTTTGTCTATTATAATTTTCCCCAGATTATATTATACCCAGCTTTCTTTGTAGTTATCCATAGTTTTTGTTGTTTATCACGGTCTGGATTAATTATAACATATTCTGGTTCCCACTTTGTCCAATCTCTTTTCTATATACTCATGAGTTAGTCTATCCTATTACTTGGAAGAGTTTTGATTAAAGCTTGAAACCATTTAGGAATGGAATCTTTATTGGTGTTTTGAAGTAGTTGGAACATTTGCCAATTTCTAATTTCTTTAGTAGCTTAATTGATTAGCTGGTCTACATATAGCAGTTTATTGTTTTTTAGTGATGGTATAGCTTTTCTATATTCTTCTAATGTAAGGTATTCCTTAATTAAACTATTTCCCTTGCTCCATTTGAAGATTTCTTGCCATTTCCAACTGTGAAAGGTTATTCCTATTTCTTTAGTCAACTTCATTACTTAGAGTGTAAAGTTTTTTCTATCTAATAGATAATTCCGAGAGTTGTATATTAATAGGTTAAGCAGTTTCCAATTCTTTATCTGTGCTTGTTGGAGTCGGATAATTGTTGTGATTCCTATGGGACCAGGATCATTTAGTCTATTACATAATCCTGTTATTTGATTTTTTCGCTGAAGCATCCAGATGCTTTTCAGGTTGTGAATCTTTGAATAATGTATTACACTATTAGGTATGGATCTATATAGGGTACTCTTGTTTTTGAAGAGCTTTCTATATGCTGTTGTTAAAGTGTTACATATTTTTCAGGATAGTATACTATACTGTATCCTAAATTCTATTCTTGGAATTAATACCCTGTTTAAAATATACAGAATTTGTTTATCTGTTAATTTCTTGCTTTTAAGAGCTCTGATCACTATGTTGATCTTTTTTAGCATCCTCTCTTTAAGTTCAACTGCAGTTTTTTGATTGCCAGTCCAGATTCCTAGAAATCTTGTATGTTCTGCCCTGCTAAGCTCATTTACCATTTCTTTTTCTATACTGATCTAAACTTCTTCTGAATAGTAATTAGAATTGTTAATAGTAATTAGAACTGATTTATTACTATTGATTTGAGAATTGTTGGCTTTGTAAAAGACTCTTGCAGATTCAAGGATTTCTTTCATATCCTTTTTGAATCTTGCTATCCATGTTGTATCATCCATAAAGGTTATAGCCGCATATCTTAATTCTAGCCTTTTTGTGGTCTGTCTTTTAAGATCTGGATTTCAGGTAACTGACATTTTGTATCCCCTTTTTTTGTCATTCTGAATCTTGCAGAGTAAAGAATCATAGAATATTTGCTATAGCAGTGATGAGATGGTTTCTCCTTGATCAATGCCATCTCCTGCTTTTATGGATTCTGTGAGATTATTTTCAAAGATTGCTTGAAATTTTTTGTCTTGAAATAGGCTTAACATGATCTTGATAAAACCCTTTGGTATTCTGATTCTTTCTATTGCTTTGACTAGTATGACCAAACTAATTGTGTCATAGGCTTTGGCAGTATCTTGAAAAAGTATTCACAGTTTAGTTCCTTTTTATTTTCTCTTGCATCTTCACAGATGTTGTTGAGGATTTGAATTGGTTCTAATGTACTTTCTCCAGGGAGACCTGCAAAGTTGGGACCTTTGAGGATGTTATTGACTTTACAGATATTTTCCATCCTATTAGTAAAAATTATTATGAAACACTTTCTTGTGACTTCCAACAGAACTATTGGTCTTGTGTTTATTAGTTCACACTCTTATGGTTTTGGTTTGGCTATAGGATATATATAGCTCTGTTTCCAACAAGTGGAAGTTACCTCCCATCTCAAGAAATTATTTAATATTCTTTTCAGGATTTTCTTTTCATCTTGACTCAGTTTCTTAAATATTTTGTAGTTAATTTGTAACTGTCCTAATGCCTTGTTGTTTGGAAGTGTTTGAAGTATTTCACCTAATTCCGCTTGTGAGATTGGCTTGAGGAAATCTTTATACCATAGTTCTTTTATATAATCCTTGGGTCTATACTCCTCTTTCCAGTCTTCTGTAAGACTGTTAAAGTTGGTATCTCTTTTTTTAAATACTTCTAGATAGTATCACCTTAGTTCTTTCTCTATTTCACCTGTTTTGATTGTTATGTATTCTGTACCATTTATGTGACCTTAATTCTGTCTAGCACAATTTTGCTTCTTGTTTTGTTTGTTAGGGAGCTTATCATTCTTTTCTGATTGAATTTTAGGTCATTATATCATTGTTTCGAAGCAACCTTGATTGCATTTCTTGTCTTCTTAACTTCAATCTTTTGACTGATAAATTTCAATCCCTCTATTGCATCCTGGATATCCTTTTTCAATAACAATCAGGGCATGTTGAAGATGCTATGTTGGATACAATAGTTTTTGATCTGATGGTTAGGGCTATATATTGTATTATGTTTTTCTATTGTCAGGCTAAGGATCTATAGTTTGACTATTTCTTTTGATACTTCAGCTTTCTTGAAGATCTCTTTTAGCTGTAAGGCTTTTCTGTATATAATGAACTTTGAACTATATCTATATTCAGGTTTTTCTTTATAAATAATTGGTTTCTTAGTTGCAAACTTATTAAAGGCTGTTTTGTAAATTTGTTTTTCGAAGATTTTTTAAATCTTGTTTGCTTAGTTTTTCCTTTAATTTTCATTGGGTTTTTCTTTAAGTAGGGGTTCTAATATTGTCTTGAACTTGTGATCTAGGTTTTTACAAAATGTCTACCATTGTTCTGAAGATGTTTCTTTAATATCTATTCTTCTTAATTATTGTTTAGGAGACTTTATTGTGTTACTTCGTGTAAAGAGATTATTGTTATGTAAAGTTATAGAAATCATGGTGTGATCACTTCTTTTATCTTTTCATTATCAAATTGTAGTATTGGATATCTTAATAAGCTTTGTGATATCCAAATATAGTCAATTTTACTACTGCTTGTTGCATTCCATCTTGTGGAAGTCTTGTTTTTTTCTTTCCATATGGCTTGTGTATCTATAAACCCCCATTCATCAAGAAAATCAAACAGTGGGATTTCAGGATGCCAAGAGGATTTGAATTTTGCTTTGGAAGATGAGGTTCTATCTTTCAAAGAGTTGTAAGCAGTATTAAAGTCTCCTATTATAATTATATAAAAGCCTTTTCTATGTTTTGTTTTGCTAAGGCTGGTTATTTTCTCCTACACTTTTTTGCACCTTTGCTTATCTGATGGAATATAGACCTGTATAATACAGAGCTTTTTCTTTTTCATCAGCAAGTTGGCAGCTATAATATATACATCTTCTTCTTTGATTGATGTCACTCTTTTTTCTAGGTCTCTTCTGATAAATAGGCCAACTCCTGCTCCAAAGGGTATGTCAAAATTAGTGCTATGGAAGTGTTTATAGGCTCTTTATTTGTCGAAAGCTCATTTGGCATTAGCTTGGGTAAGTTTTGTTTCACATAAACCCATTATACCTAACCCTTGTTCTGTAATTTCTTCAATCAGACTTCTTTGATTCGTCTTATTTGTGATGCCTCTAACATTGTGTGTTCCAATTCTAATTACTCTTTTTTGTATATCTTTCATTTCTTCCTGTTCTTTTTCTATTATTATATTTTTTCTTTTTTTGTTAAGGAAAGTATCACGTTTCTTTTGTAAGAATGTTGTTAGATCTAAATTATTATATTGTTCTAATGAAACCTCTTTTTCTTGTATTTGTTCTCTGCCCTTGTTATTAGTTGCTATTGAGGATGAAGCAGGCATGTTCACCTCTTGTCTCTTTGGGTTGCCTGTTGTATCATTTTAGGAGTGATTGGTTGCTCTTCTACTTCTATTTATCTTGTTTGGAGTTGTTTATCCTTCAAGTCTATTTATTCTACCACTCAGTTTTTCAAGATTAACCAAAATGAGCTATAGAGGATCTTGGTTGCCTTCTACCTTTGATCTAATATCTTCACTGCTGATATTCTGTTAGTGAGTCATTCGTCTTCTTATTGGCTTTCTATTACTACCTGTAGCAGAATATCTAGTTGTTCTATAATTTTTCTGCCTTACTCTATTATTATCTCTTTGTTTAGTTTATCTTTGATTTCTGGAGCATATAGATTTTATAGTATAGGGATAATAATAAGAGAAGAAAGAAGAGGATCTTGTAGACTCATAGCCTGATAGTGAATCTGAAGTTGAGTCATTATCTATATTGATTTTTTGAGATCTTTGATA